GAAAATTTTGTTTAGCTTCCTTATACGTCCTTTAGTTGAGGAGATATTTGCGTCGAGGATCTATCGAGGATGATTCTCGGCCGCTCAAAAGCCGCTCCCTTCTTCACCATTGCAAGTGTAATTCGTTGGCAACGCTCGAAATGTGTCTAGAATACATTCTTCCAACATAAGCAATAAGAAAAGGGGCAATCGTCATCATCCGATTTTGTCTGGGTATAGGCCATGCACTCGAAGTTGCAGAATCGATTGGAAGGTGTTATATGATCATGACCAGTTGACAGAAGCTGCATTGTAGTAAACACATTTCGTAACTCCTACAACCGAACACTTCATTTGCCCAGGGCCTTTCCTTCACGGTTGTCGTTTTTGCGACAGGTCCCTAACAACAGTGTCATTCTCAGCGAGGTATTAAGGGAGAGGGAGCGGGCGGTAGATAGAGGAGGTGCCTTTGCAGCGCGTGTGCACATGTGACCCTGTTCCTTGCAAAGATGCACTTTCATTCTTTGTATACTTTCAAATACTTCCTTCTCGAAGGTAGAGAGACGGAGCGACTGAACCTGCAAAGAATATTTTATATCATTTTTTCTCATATCCTTGTTTTCTGCTGCGCTACACCCTATCCCTCCTATCTGCACCACGATGCCACTGACGTTACTGACCCCCACGAGTACGACCCCCATGACCCACCTTGACAAATACGATCCCCCTGTCGAGGATTTCCTCGACCGATCACCGTGGCTGTGGTTACTAGAACTGAGTGAATCTCCTGTCATCCAGTTACCTCACAGCTCAAGGCGTTTCTGAAAGGCCGTTTCCTTCGACTCTTCGCGACAGCGTCTTGATGAGTTCAAATAATAGCAGGAAACACGAAGGTTTAACAACATCTTTGGCGCTCTCACTGAATCTGACCTGCTGCAGCTCGACACACTTACAGTGAGAATGTGTTTCAAGAATCTCTATCCATTTCCTACGGAGGACCCGCAAAGAAACCTTGAATTCTGCTGACATGACCTTGACTCGGCAAATGAGCAGCTTATGGTTAGCTACTAGTGAATATCAAATTAATCCTAAAATTAGCGGATTTTCCAGCACACAGGCCTGTATTAAAGGTGTATATGAGTTTAGTCGCTGTCGAAATATGACTGGTATCAGTACTGTACTATGCAGCCAGTATAGCAGTCCATAACTGTAACAGCAATAACTGTACCTGTAGAATGGAGGGAATATTTTTCACTTTCTTCCTCCCTGTGCTATCTTCGTAGCCTCCTTCCCTTTTAGGCAGCAGTAGCGGTTGCAGATTCACTTCATGCCTAGATTGAGCCGCATCTATAAAAAATATAATTTTCAAAAATTTTGGAAGGCATTCTTATAAAACTCGATGAGCTGAGTCTAGTTGTCGTAGTCTAGCTGGGTATAGTTTTTTTTTGTCGAAAAATGATCAGAAATCAAAGTTATAGCAAAAAGACGAAAAAGACGCGGATCCGCGTCTTCCGCGTCTTTTTTTACCAAAGTTGTGGGAGTACTGTATCTTGTTTTGAGCCTTCCGGGATCATAGCTTTACCCAACAACAAACACCCGCTTTTCGAAATTCACCCACCAGCGCCGCTATTGCCAAAATACAATAAATAACAGCGGCTGCACAACCCTCGAACCCTTGAAAGCGTTCGCTACCTCACATTACAATATGACAGTCAACAATTAATAGTAACTCACACTCACTGTGATAATTATCTTGACCTTCGGATGCTCTATTCTTATTTTTACCGTCGTTTGAACCGAAGCTAAGGAGCTGTGATGTTAACTGTTTTGTTTATAATGGTTTTTCTTTCTTACACAATCACGGACTCCGCATCATGATTCTCAGATACACCTGTCCTCTTCAAACCCTGCGATCCGTGTCTCCACTCACCTAAGAGAAGCCTGCCAGAAACATGACCTTTCAGCCTTATTCGTACCCGCCGTAATTGCGCTCTTCCGCTCGCGCTTCCGAATTCTTACGACTTCCTCCTTAGAGGCTGCTCGAATGCCGACCCTCACATCACCGATCAGGCCTCAGGAAACTCTTTTCCAATACAAGCTCCTCCCAACCTCGATCCTCACTATTCAAGCATAGGCTTTTATAGTAATGTCATTCTGAGTCCGACACAATCCCAATTCCGCTCTGACTTTTTTTCCTCCCAAATACCGTCAAGAGGTATAGTCAAAAAGGGGGAGGTCTTCGCCCGAGCTCCCGCGCACACATACAGTCGATATCTCGAAGTCTGATTGGGCGTGTCACCGGAAATGACGTGGCAGCCACCGCACTTGATAGATGTTGTGTGGATAAAATACTCCGCCAGATATCAGCAAAGCGTGTTGGAAGCAGCTTATCCGCGCAACTTCTATCAAGTGCGGTGGCTGCCACGTCATTTCCGGTGACACGCCCAATCAGACTTCGAGATCTCGACTGTACTCGAAAGGCCGTCATCAGAAACGGTCCCCACATCCATAATCATGAGTGGTTGACTATAGCCTACTCCAAATAAGACCCTTCCAATTCTCACAAACACGACCCCCGTTCGCACTTTTGCTGGGACGGTTTACCCTGATCAACCCCAAACGCGAGCTTCCTCCATCCCGTAACGGTAAATTTGATCTCACTCCCCATACTGGTGATTTCGGACAACTACCTCAAGTGGCGGTTTGAACTACGAGCGGAGGGTTGATCTCGGTCGGCGCTCCACTGAGGCAGCTTATTGTAAGCTGTGCTCGACCACATTTCGGCACCAGCCCACGTCCTACCTGTAGTACCTCTTGTGCCGTCCTAGCACCCTTTCAGAACTTTTGCTCAAGAAGGCCTCGACCTGCTGAGGCATTGTGAATGGCAATGTATAACTTGGTGGCTGGCTGCGCGAAGAGCCACGCGCGCTTCGGCACTTGTCAGAATTGCGATCGTTCTGCAGCCAAGATAAGCGTGCAACGGCAAAATGAGAACCTCCTTGTGTTCATGTTGAATATTCTTCAGCCGAAGTTCAGTACGGCCACTTGTGACATCGGGATAAAAATGCCATTATGCAGTGCACAACGATGAAGTCCTTCGATTCAGGATGCGAACTCGATGGACCGATAACACAAGCACTCATTGTTACTATAGAGGATAACTGTAGTGCGATCTATGGCAATTTCACTCTTTCGGGAAACGATGTACCCAGTCACTATATTCTTCAGCAGAAATTCGGTACGGCCACTGCTATACATGGCGAAGTAGCGGTGATAGGCACAGACTTCACTGACTTGAGCTTCCTCGGCAACTTAACAAAGATATATGTTGATTACGATCTGAAAGGTAAACTGTTAAGTACAGAATATGTAAATTTCGCAATTTTTCGCTTTTGGTACCGATAAAATCCGCGACCCAGCTGTACGTTGCTAGGTGAAAGTTTGATTATTAATTTATAGCGGATGTTTTTGTGGAAAAATTCCTCCGAATCGAGGACAATGACAAGCTGGAACGACTGGGTTGGGATGCACTCCAGGTAGGTGTTTTTGGTGTTTCGAATGCAAACGACTTGAACTGCCCTCAACGACCCAAGATTTGCGTTCTCAAGTTTGTTTATAGTTGCAGTTGCAAGGATACTAGTTGGCAATTGCGCTCTAATCACATTGTGTGCGCATTTCTCGTACGATGAACATTTGCTGATGCGAAATGGCTGGCAGTAGAGAAGAAAGGAAAAGAATGAGTCGGAACGCTTAGGCCAAGGGCTTGTTAGCTAAACAGTACTGCTGTGCGAGCAAGAGAGATGGAGCGCGGAGAAGAGAGTTTGAGGCGAGAGAGCGCTACAAAAGAGGGGGTTCACGACAGGAGGATGTACCTATTGACTGAAGGGAGTCGTTAACACCATTTCTGCCTGGGCTGTGCCTTTAACCCTTTGACGACAATGCGGATTTGCACGCAGCGTAATGATATTGACCTTAGGTTTCCTTTATTATTTCTCGAATTGTTGTGTAGATATTTGTTGTGAAGTGATGTCTCGAATTTATCGTCATAAATAAGGCGAGGCACATCAGTGCGTCTTCATGGTATATTACCTGTCTTCAACGGTAAATTCACTACTATCCAAGAACTGTTACGCACAGTTAACTCAGAGCTTACCTTCTCAAAGGCGCTGTCATGAGTGAAAGACCGTTCATCAGAATCAGGGTAGATGTGCTTAGTGATATTGCAGAATCCGAGAAATAAGACCCCTTCCTTCCCACGTGGTTTCTCTCTCTCTGCCAAGGCTCACATACGTCCACGGGTCCTCAGCTAGATGAAATTACTCCTTCATCCTTCATTCTAATCTTGAATTCCTCTTTAAGGAGAAGGTTCGATGGAGCAACCCATTCCAAATTGAGGTAGAGATGGTGAGTAGTACCAGAAAGAAAGCGAAACCACGAAAAACGGCCCAGAACCGGAGAAATGGGACCCCTTCCTTGTCCGTTGATTTGAGCATTGATGGGACTCTCATCGCTTTGCCCTCTTCAACCCTACGCTCTCTCAGCTATCTAATCACTCGCCACCTATTGTACTACGGCGAGTGATCAGACGATCGGTGGGCGGAGATCGCCGAACTCGCCAACTTTGAGCCATGCTAGATCTCAGAGGTCAAATCTTTCGATGCCGATTGCGTGTCTGTCCGCACCCTCAAGAGATTCACCGCTCTCCCCACTAGGCGATTTCTCCCTTCTTCGACCTTCGTTCTTTCCGTGCAATCCTCCTTTAAAGCAGAATGTTCATTCCTGCCGCCAGTTAAAGACGGATTTTGCGATGAAGAGCTAGTTTATGGAAGTAAGACGCGGCTTAAAGGTGCGCTGTGGTTGCCGGAGAAGGAGAAGAATCCATGCTAAAACAGTCCAGAACCCGAAACTCAGGCGGCCCGCTTTCTTTGTTCGATGGCTTTCCGCAATGATTGCGACCTCTCATCTGTCGTGACTCTTCAACGCATAACGCTTGCTCTGACTCTAATCACCACCGAAGTGATAACCTGATTCCGAACACGTGGTAAGAAGTTGCTCCACTTGTTCTGGTTGCTTCACCACTTTGTCATACCACTAACTAGAATATCATCGAAAGCTGTTGCAGAGTGGAACTGAAATTTAGGATATTAGCGTGATCACCGTCCAGATTTCTGGAAATCCGATCTTGTGCTATAGCCCGGCAGAAATGGGCGCTCTGTTCACGTCCGAGTATGTAAATGCAATAGAGGGCAGCTTTTGTGAAGGTAATGTTGAGCTCACCTTGTTAATTCTTGTTTCGTTACCAGTTTTCCAAACGATTTTGTGAATATCGGATCAGATGAAGCAGAATATTGCAGAACAGTGTATGGGAATCCAAATTGTGATGGACCTTGATCCTATATGTACATGAAAGATGAGACCACACTATTTCACTGACTAGGACGTAGCTCTGATTTTACCAATGGGCTTTCGCAGCATAAAAAGCCGACTTTTAGATTGTAGTTACCGCATGTGCCGTACACAGCACGAAATTTAATGCATGGAACGCAGCTATCGTGTCCTGCTTTCTAGTTTGCTGGAGTTCGCTGTGGATTAGGTGGAATTTTCGTTTTCAAACAGATCAGATCTCCTTCAAAAGTCTGGCGTTCATGAACAACGGTTGCAGTGATGGCTCGTTCTCATTTCATGTGCGAGCATAAGCAACAGCAAACCGCCATGATGACTTTTTTTGCGATAGCCATACATAGTGTCATAGCCAACAAAGGGCTCAAGTAATCGTTCGGCTAACTGCAACTTCTGCAACTTTCTTGCGTACTAACGAGTTCATTCCGATTATTTCGCAGCAGGTCTCCCAAGGACTGTGTTCTTCACCCACATTAGAGGCTGCGAGAAGCTAATCGTTTCCAGCTGCTTGGAAAATAGTAGATTTTTGCTATTTTTTAATATCAAATCCTAATGGAACATCAGGCAAAAAGTGGCACCGATTTCGCTTGATTCAGAGGGGCCCCTCCACAGCGATCTTGACAGACAGCGCTAGGACGCCAATAGGAGACTCACCTAAAAACATCGTTGGCACGACGAATGTACCACTATTTGCATTTAGAGTGATGCGCAGTAGTTCACGTAACGCATACATAAACACAAGTATTAGTCGCAGCAGGACAAAATCAAGACAAGTAGTGTTTCATGGCCATATTCCAGAGTACATGCTCGTTGTAACAGTTCTGAACATCGTAAGTCCTCACATTTTTTCCACAAGTGAACCTCTACAAGTCGTCACTACCATTTAGAAACAGAATCTATGCGGAACGCATCCGTCTGCAGAGTAGCCGGCGACGGTAATGTGGC